AGACACTGCTGTCTAGCGTCTGGACTGTATAATATCTGTCTCTTATACACATCTAGATGTGTATAAGAGACAGGTGACAAACTGTTTCGTCGGAGTTTCATAGTTTACTTGGTTATTATCCCATTAGGGCAGAACTTGTGCGGTGCTCTCGACGGGCAGCATCGGTGAAGGGCCACAGGGTTGAAGCGCAGGGGTTAACAACACAATGGCCTTCGGTGGTATTACAAGCCCATCTAGGCTTGCTGCTGTCAAGCTGAGCTTGTGCCACTTGTCCGAGCGAAGCTGCTGCTTTCGCTGCCGCAATGTTGAGTCGGGATCCCCATTCTTTCCCGGAATGCGATTCTTTTGGCCTCGGTCGGGAGGAATATCCACCGAGGCACGACCGGCGTTGTCGGGATCCCGCCTGATCCCTGCTGAACTGACAGGTCATAAGGAACGACACGCGAAATCGGTCTCCCGGAGACGGCTCGCTCGCCTTCGATCTATTGTCGGAGGAGCAGAGGCAACAACGACTACTGTGAAAGGAGCGGAACCCAGGGTTTCCTCCTCCTCCTCCTCCTCCTCCTCTCCCTTGGATGTGCTGCGATTGAAAGTACTTGAGAAGCAGCAGGAGCAGCAGCAGTCCGGAAGTCACTCATCGGCACTGCGTGACCTCTCTTCTTCTCCTTCCTCACTCTCCTCTTCCTCCTCCTCCTCTGTAGCCTCGAAGACCGCAAGTTCCATCGCCGGTTTCAAGGCATTGGGACTCAGAGATGAGTTGATGGGTGCCATCAGCGAGATGGGGCTTGGCAGTCCCACAGAGATCCAGGCTTTGGGAATACCTCCTATTCTGGCGGGGGAGGACGTGTTGATTGCATCTCACACAGGGTCAGGTAAGACGCTCGCTTATTTGTTGCCGTTGATTCATAAGCTGCGCGCCGATGAGGAGAGGACGGGGAAAATGGCGCGCCCGAGGCGGCCACGTGCCGTGGTCCTGGGCCCAACGAGAGAGCTCACGGAACAAGTCCTCCACGTGGCCAAATCCCTGAGCCATCATGCTCGATTCCGATCGGCGATGATCGGTGGCGGCTGCAGACCGAAGCCCCAGGAAGATACATTGAATTCATCCTTGGATCTGGTCATAGGCACCCCAGGACGGCTGCTGATGCATGTGGAGAACGGTCACTTATCCTACGGCGACATCAAGTACGTTGTTCTCGACGAGGCGGATACGATGTTCGACAGGGGTTTTGGCCCAGAGGTGCGCAAGTTTCTGCGTCCGTTGAGGAAGAGAAGTGCGATGGCGGCCGCAAGGGAGGGAGAGGAGGAGAGGGAGGCGGCGGGCAGTTCTTTTCAGTGTGTCCTTGTCACGGCCACCTTGACAAAGGCTGTCCAAAGGTTGATAGACGAAGAGTTCCCTGGAATTCAGCACGTGCATACTTCCACTCTCCACAAGCGGGTAGCCGGGTCGCGGCACGATTTCTTGCCCGTTTCTGGCGATGAGAACAAGTTGGAAGTCCTCTCCCAGGTGCTTGAGCCCGCCGTTGCTCGGAATCAACGCCTCATGGTGTTCTGCAACACCCTAGGGTCGTGCCGAGCCGCTGAGCACTTCCTTCGCGAGACTGGCATCGACACTGTGTGTTATCACGGCGAAGTTCCCGCCGAGGAGCGGGTGGCAAACCTGGAACGCTTCCGTGGGACCAGTGGGACCACTGGGAGCAGTTGGGAGAGAGCAGCTGGGGTTGGTGGCTCCTCGTCGGTTCCTGTGCTTGTCTGTACGGATCTTGCGGCTAGAGGTCTCGATCTTGTCGTTGACCATGTTGTGATGTTTGACTTTCCGAGGACCCCTGTGGACTACCTGCACAGGACGGGCAGAACGGCGCGGATGGGAGCGAAGGGTAGGATCACTAGCCTTGTGACGAGGAGGGATCAGTTGCTGGCGCGGGAGATTGAGGCCGCTGTGAAATGTGGCAGCTCGATGGAGAATCTGACGTCAGACAAAAATAAGCTTTCGGCAATGAAGAAGAGAGAAGCGGAGGAGCAGAGAAAGGTTAAATTGAGGGGGAAGCTTAAAAAGGGGGAGAAGAAGGGTGACAGGCAGTTTGCTGGAAAAAAGTGGCCCTCGAAACCCCCCCTTGGGACCGCTGCAGCTGGTAGGGGAAAATCGCCTGCAGCAGGGAAAATAGCAGTAGAATCATCACGTACACGTACCTCTGTGCAGGGTCGTCGGGGGCTCCCTAAGAACAAACCCAGTGCTTTTATACCCAAGGGCACGAAGGGAGCGGCACGGTTGGCGTTGCAGCGTGGACATGTTGTACCGGGGAAACTCAGGGCTAAGGATACCACTCGCAGGCGAAGGTCGTGATTGCTAAGCAGCATGTGGAAAAAAAAAAAAAAAAAAAAAAAGGTTGCTGCCATTCGAAAC